GACAACTAGAGAGCCCCCTGACCTCCAACATTCCCAATAATCTGACAACGAGAGAGCCCCCTGACCTCCAACATTCCCAATAATCTGCCAACGAGAGAGCCCCCTGACCTCCAACATTCCCAATAATCTGCCAACGAGAGAGCCCCCTGACCTCCAACATGCCCAGTGCATTATTTGTCAGTTTTTTTAAATGAACTCCAATGATTCCAATGAAAATCCACACACTCTGCAGTCTACGCACTGCAAGAAAGACAGTGATCATTTAGCCTTCTGTCCCAGTTTCAGCACCTCCTTGCAAAGAGCACTGCTTACTCGCAGCCACTCCTGGCCTGATACATACTTACATAATAGACATGCTTTGCTTTCAGGATGAATGTGCTCTGTTACAGAGTAAAGCCTCATTCAGCAGTCTTACATTGTACTGTAGATGCTTGATACAGTATTATTTACCACATGCCTACTCTATCGAGTAACACGCACCTATATTTAGCTGCTGTCTCTATGCCTCATAATCGGGCTGGCAGTTTGACCTGCTCAAGGGGCCACATGTGATAAGATGCTGTTTCCAATAATAGGTTGGCTGCTTCAGCACGCTACTAAAATCAATAGCGATCCAAAGACAGAAGTTCAGGGGGGGTAGGGGTGGGAGTGACGGGGCCCAGTAGTGCTGTGACTGGAGCCCTGAAGTTCCCAGATGGGTTTGTACACAGTATCGTCAAAAGTTTATGGATACCAGTTGTCCAGCATCTTGTTCTAAAAGCTGGGGCTCTGTGTGGCTCAGTGGGCTAAGTCTCCATGCCTGGGAACAGAAGGTTGCTGGTTCAAGCCTGAGTTTGACAGAATGGCTTATGAAAGAGGCTGCTCTTAACTGCCAGGTTTACTCTCACTTATGTGTATGTCATGAAGAGCAAGATAGGGTAGATGAAAAGAGAATTTCTCCATGGGGATCGATCAGGTGTCATTCTATGAAGGGACTCTTCTGGGAAGGCCTTCTGTTAAATGCTGGAGCAGGGCTGATGGGATTTGCTGCCATTCAGGTTGGATATTGGTTGATCAGGCCCCTCATGTCATGTCCTACCACTTGGTAACTGAACTTGCTCCCAGACTTTCTGACCTTCACAATCACTTCATTTGCAGCTCTAGCAGGACAAGAATGTGGTAACAAGACTTATAGGCATCAGCAATTAAGAGGCCAAGTGGAAAGTTACTAACATCTACTGCTGAAGCATCCATTGTGTTGCATATGTTTGTGCTACTGTGTGCTCAATTATGCACCTATGTTAGCAAAGGGTGTGGCTTATCAAGTGAGGCGTTCACATACTTTTGGCCACATAGTGTGTGTAGGGCCTGCAGTACACAGTGAGACCTAGTGTGGGTGGGGGGGCTGGCTGGCTCCTCTGTCCTGGGATTATTTAACACCCCACCACTTCCTTTTCTCACTGTAGAGGTTGCCACAGCTGGACGTGCCCGTCAAGCAGATGGTGGCTCGGATCCAGTTGCAGCACCAGTCCGAGGGCACCATGCCCCAAATCAGCCACAAAGGACCGAGGAACGGCTGCCAGGTGATCCTGGGGGCAGACTTTTGTCATATTCTGTCTGGAGAATCTTTATTTCCATCCATCCCTCCATCCATTTTCTGTTACCGCTTATCCTATTCAGGGTCACGGGGGGTCCGGAGACTATGGGCGCAAGGCAGGGAACGATCCAGTATGGGGCGCAAACCCATCATAGGGGACATTATTCACTCACACATCTACGGGCAATTAGGTAACTTTAATCAACCACAGCACATTTTTGGACTGGGGGGGGGGGGACTGGAGAAACCCCACGATAACACAGGGAGAGAACATTCAAACTTCACACACATGAAGCCAGGGTGGAGCCTCAAACCCTGGTCCCAGAGGTGTGAAGCAGCTGTGCTAACCACTACACCACCATGTGGCATAAAACCTGATGGGAGAGAATACGATATTGGCCGAATATAGATTAGTCATTAAGGTATCGACTGCTTGGTGGCTCAGGGATTAGCACTATGACCTCACACCTCGAGGGTTGTGGGGTCGAATCCCCACCCCTGGCTCTGTGTGTGCATGTGTGGAGTTTGCATGTTCTTCTCTTGTCTGTGTGAGTTTCCTCCCACAGTCCAAACACATGTAGTTGATGTGTAGCCCTTTATGACTGCGTGTGCCCTGTCACCGATCGATATCCCGCCCATGTACCCCTTTATGACTGCGTGTGCCCTGTCACCGATCGATATCCCGCCCA